TATTGGTTAAAAAATTTCACATGATTATTTCACGTGATTATGTGACTAAAGAGAATACTTTTTTAATATAAGATTTTTGAAAAAAGATGTGATAGTGACTATAAGTAGATTGTGATTATAAAGAGTAAATTTTGTATATATAATTTTGGGATAACTAACTGAGGTGACTATAAAGGAAATTGTGACTATAACAGAAGTAACTATAAAGGGAGTTGACTGTAAATCTTTGTTTGAAATCGCAAAAAATTGCCATAATTTACAAGTGTTTCACTTTGCTAAAGCATAGCGGATCACAGATAAATCTATAAGATGCATCTTAAACTCATGTCCAAATTTACGAAATCTTGATATTTCATATAGTAAGGGGGATGTCAGTATGTTAATACAGAGATGTCTCAGCATAGAGTATCTTGACTTTGCTGGTGTCATGGCTTTCTGTAATAATACATTAATTGTGACTATCATCAGAGCAACTCCGAATTTAAGACATTTAGAGATCAGTCATAATGATATTGGTGATGAGGTTACTAAAGCATTGGCTTATACTTGTCATAAATTAGAATATCTCAATCTGGATTGTTGTGATTTTGTTAGTGAACCATCAATTTGTAATGTTTACGTTTCTGTCCAAAGCTCTAACATCTTAACCTTAGTTGCTATAATATTACCAGTATGACTATCAAAGAAATTGCTCGCTTATGTCTCAATATAAAATTTCTAGCTTTGGATAGGTGTGAAAATATTAGCAAAAAGACTAGCTAAATCCAAATATTTATACCGATTTTAATGAAGATTACTGTTCTGATTTGGAATCTTCTAACTCAGAGTCTGAATAATATAACTAGTCTGAAGCGAGCTGAGAGGCGCTTTGTATGATCGCATAATTTTCCTGACCAAAGGCACTCAGGGTAAGGTGTTTTGCTATTGTTTCGTTTGAAGATACAATATATAATATGCACTATGTATAACGCAATCAAACATCTTTTATTACCAAAACTATTAGAACAGATTTTACATTTTTTAGTAATAGATAAATCTCTTTATCCCACTCTATATGTTTCCTAAGTGTGGTACAGATATGGTGCTCCTATTCTATAGAGACGCATTGAGCTAAAGGTAAAAGACTTATTTCCTAGGCAATCTCTTTCAAATGATTATAATTACTGTGCAAAGGATCACCTTCAATTAAATAAATTTATAAGATTAAAACGTGTAAAGGATCTTTCTCAATTAAAAAAATTCATAAAGCTAGTACGTAGGAAGCAAATGCCAGTTTTATTGCTCTAATGTATCTCATCTCAAAATTTCATACTACTATTCACTTTTAGATAAAAAAATTATAAGAATTGTACATTCATGTCCAAATATAACCCATTTGAGTTTTATAAATAGCATAGAATTTAGTAATAGAGCATTAGAACTGATAGCAGGTTCATACCTGAATCTGAAGTATCTCAATCTGTATGATGATCAGTCAGATGGTTTTACGAGTTTTCGTGTTCGAGAAATAGATGATAGAGGTCTATAGAGGATCGCAAAGACATGCCATAAATTAGAATATTTAAATATCACCTATCGTACAGAGATTACTGAACATTCAATTTGCGGTATTATTTGTTCCTGCTCAAAGCTCCAACAACTCGACCTTAGCTATTGTAAAATTACCAATGTGACTATCAAAGAAGTTGCTAGATTATGTCTTAACTTAAAAATATCTTGATCTGAAAGGATGTGAAGATATTAGCAGAGAAGCCATAGATTAGCTTGTTTCACTTAATCCAAATATCCATGTCGATAATTTTGTGAAAATTTTAACGCCTCCTGATCTTATTAGAGTTGTTAATAATCAAATTTTAGCTTAGAGCCTTTTAGATCTAAGTATGCAAGATATTCAGTATTTGGTTCTATCTCAGATGTACCAGCGACATAGAGCTGGTGAAAGAATACTAGCCCTAGAATGGTGGTATTCTACTGATCTAACTAATCTGGATCAGTGATCAGTTTAGAAGATTTTTTGTTAGGTTATATTCCTGTGCGACAAAAAATATAGATTTTCTAGATATGGGCACTGGTCTGTGCTAGCAGAATTTTTTATGAATATTTCGTACAATTGATGAGAAGTAACCTTTGAAAATAATGGTAGTCTCTCTCTAGTAAAATAAACATTTTTACCTTATCAATGAATCTCTGTATTAACACACTTAAGACATCTTCTACGGAACTGTGAAATTTTTCAAACTTTCAGAGATATGCTCTTGTGATTTTATCAGCCTCTTCTGCCCTTTCTTGGTTAGAATAACCAATAATACTGAGTTTCTTCTGAATTATTACTATATCATCTTCTAAAGATAAAAGCAAATCAAATAATCTAATTGGTTTATCTGAAGAGGCTTTATCCCTTCTAAGTTCTACTTCTAGAACAGGATTACCATCAATGTTAAGATTCTTCTGTATCGATATTAAATCCCCTATCAATTCTAACAACAATTCGTATGAATCAGCAAGTGTTTTCCCTATGAGTTTAGAATCTGAAGGCACTACTAATTTATTTACATTACTACCAATGCTTACCAAAGGTAATATACCGAGTTTTTCCTGAATAGCTACTATATTCTTCTTCTTATATAAAAGCATTCCATAAAACTGAGTAAGTATTTCGGTATTAATGATCGCTATGATTGTTATAATAATGTAATATATTTAATGAGAAAATCAAAATTTTTCTATGGTATACAGACAAACCTAAATATGCTCAAGAAAAAACGTAAGGCTGATGAGGTGGTCGAGTCTGATTATGAGTATGTCTATGGTATTATCTCAACAGCCACGGACTGGTACTTTATCCTGCATAGCACTGAGTCTATCTACTATACGAGCAGGACTGAGTATCGAGTTTCATTGATAGAAAACGCTCTCGAGGATCCAACCGAATTGTGCAAGAGTGTAAAGAGGATTTTGAAGGTTATAGTGGGATTATTAAAAGATAGGGTATCAGCTAGTGATAAGCCTGTATCTAAGAAGCGTCACGTGGAAGAAAAAATCAAGATTAAGATTCAAAAATAGGGGTAGTCAATATTTATGTATATTAGATAGACGGCATGTATCGCAGGCTATGTCTTGAACATTTGTATTTATTTTCGCATGTATTAATAAAAAATTTTTCTTGGCAAAAACCGTTAAGTTAATGATCAGCTGAAATAACCTACATATTTTTATCAATTTTGAATACTAACTAACTTATAGAGCATAAATAATATTTTATATTTTGCAGATATGCAATCCGAAATAGATTCATTGAGACAATGCATTACCAAGCTTGAACTCAGAAATGTGGAACTTATAAAACAGATGATGGAAGAGAATAACAGACATGATGCTAGGCTTGAAGCGCTTGAGACTAGAATCTTAAAACTAGAGCAGGATCAGGCAAAAAGAGAAACTAAGAAAAATCGCAAATTCCAGACCAAATGCATCCAGATAGCTAAGGAGATTCTAAATGAGAAACCTATGATCGAATATCACCCTCCTTTTTTGAATGGATTAGAGCTTGATGCCTTCTTCCAAAAATATCAAATGGCATTAGAAGTGCAAGGGGCACAACATCGGCTTCATAATACTAGCTGGTATAAAGATGTCAAAAAACTTGAGGATATTGTTGATCATGATCGGAAAAAAAGAACCCTATGCCAGTTAAATGAAATTTATCTTCTTGAAGTATGATATGATGAGAATCCGGAAATCACGATTTCTCAAAAGATGTATAAATTTAAAGAGTGTATTGATCGAAAATACTTTAATCTTGATTAATCTTTACGTGGCTTATACAACGACTTAACATCATATGGATAGTACTAATTGCATGTAGCTTACATGATAAAATTACGCTTTCAAAAAGGCGATTAGTCAGGAAAGTATTTGCTAAATTGATTACCTGAAATTTCAATAATTATAATTTTGCATTTGCTCATGGGACTCATCATGCCCTATTTGCGATGGAAAACATGGGATGGTATAGAAATGGAACGGAATATTGTCTTAACTGTAACGCTTCGCGATTGTGGCTTAGACCGGTCATGTGAAATCGATCACCTGAAAGGTGCAGAAAGATATATAGTTGAAATGTACAACTAAAACGAGCTAGATGAAAACCAGTTGTGTAACTGATCGATATATATCTATTCTTAATCGGTTGGCTGAGGTCGTTAAATGGAAACGAACAGACGTTCTTGAATATATAAAGTCCAAGCAAAATGACTTGGATCTAGATGACGAAGATATAAAGATAATTGAGAAGAACAAGGTCGCTGGTCAAGTCTTCATTAATTTAACGGAAGAAAAGCTTTTAGCCCCTCCATATAACCTTCTCGGCGGACCAGCCGGAGCCATAGCCTTTTTGATCAAATCACTCAAAGACGAAGTGCAAGGTAAGTGCATGGCCTCATTCTGTTCTCCAAACCCTTTTTTTCTCACTTCCTTAGCTTGTCTTACAGCATCTTACATCTCATATCTAGCAGTGGCATCAACCAATGAACTAGAAAAGTCAGAAGAAAGTTTCCAAGAAAAAAATGACTTACAAACCGACGAAGCTATTGAAAAGACGTGTATTAATGAACCTTCTTGTAATCTTATCTCGGCTTCTGGAGAAATATTGGTTGGCCCTTACTTGCCCGAAACAGATGATTTAATACGAAACACTGAAGCTACCGAAAAGACATGTACTAACGAACATCCAATTTCGACTTCTAATTTTCTACCAGAGACTGCCTCTCAGCTTCTTAGATATTATGGTAAAATTTTACAATTTGTTATTCATTACTATGATTGTTTTGCTTATGACACTTACACATCATGGCAGATGTTTGGAATCGTCCTCACAAGGAATGGCCTAGTCTCAGTGAATTTTCAGATCATCTATACAAAGTCCATAACATTTCCAAAAAAGATCTTGTACATTCTTCTTTCAAGATAGAGATCGGAATTTTACAAAAGTTATTTGCAAAGCAACATCCCGCTCAAAGTCGGCTTTCAGAATTGGCTAGTCAACTGAAGGCAATACTACTTTCATCGATTATGAGAGTGTAACAGTCTGAACCGATTATCCATGCAGGTCGCGTACCTGTTAGGCGTGATGCGTTCTCGTTTTTCAGATATGGGTAAATTAGCTGTTTCTGAGGGGATAATCGTGTCTGATTATGCTTTAGTGGGGAGAAATCTCGTTGCAAGATGTGTACTTGTTAGGCGTGGAGCATCCACGTTTTGCTAAAGAGTAATCTTTCAGATATGAACCAGTCCTCGCATATATATTTCACATTGGTTAATTATGCTAACATCTTAGTTTCAACAGACGCCACGACTTATAAAAAAGGTTCGTAGAGCTAAAGTAACTGAAAAGTCCACAAAACAAAAGGTTTTAAAACAAAAAATTGAACTTGCAAAGGTTAGAGTTTTTTTAAAATTTGCCATATTTTATGGTTATATGTTAAACTCATCTATGAATATTCTAGGATTCTGTAATTCTTAATGGATTTCATCGAATAAATCAACACTATGATGATTATCATGAGGCAAGCTCAGATTTGATTAAACGAAATCTAGATAATGGTGACTCACATGACGAAAAAGTAAAAAGATTTAGGAAGTAAAAAAGAAATATTTTCTCATTTATAATGGAACAGTGAAGGAAGACAAGGTTTATTTGCAAGAAATATTTAGAAATATCATTTTCGCAATAAGAGCATTTTATAATGTATAATACAGTAATATCAGAGCAATGTTAATAAAGTATATTTGTGCGATTTACAATTTCTACATTCATAAATGCATATCGTGCAATATTTTTGTGCATTGGAAAAATAAAAATGGTTATAGCGTTTACTTCATTGTTGGCAAAAGTGATCTGACTGAATCTTTCGAGGTAAGCGTATTAACCGCACCTATTCCTTTATCCCACGTCTCCAATTCTCCAGATGTTTCCAAATCGAAGGGGGGGGGGGGTATGTCATGGTGAAGGGAGGAAATAATCAAGGATGATAATATGATCTAATCATGTGGACCGTCACCTGAAATGCGCAGAAGATATCGGTAAAATTCTTGCCGAAGAATAGGGGCTGTGCGACGTAAGATCCGCATATATATTCACATTATTTTTTCTCCGACTTTGATTGCATTCATTTTTTAGGTCATGTCTCCAGGCATGCTATTAATAAAACAATATTCGGGTATGGATATTTTTCTTTCGGCTTGGCGTTCCGGCAATCATTATTTCGCATATGAGATTTGGGAAAGTGTATGCGAGGTCTCACTGAGACCATCTGCTAATCATGAAGTCATTTTTATCGATTTGCAGAGGGATTAACAAATGACGAAATGCAGTGCGTAATTGCTGGTGAAAATCCGGAGAATGTTTTCTCCTGCGACATTTACAAGTGATATAAAATGAGGTCAGTATATTTTTTCGATTCTAGTTGAGGGAAAAGTCCCAATATGTCGAGCTCAGAATCAACTAAAGCTCCAGAATCTTTACAGGTCCCAGAGAGATCCCGTCCATCTCTTGTTAATCATAGGAACCTTGCTTATAATATCTTGAAGTATCTTGAGGATGATATTGTTGGGGATAAAGAAATTTTGGAGCTAGAGCCATGTTCCGAATGTACGAACAATATTCTGGCACTCCCTCTCAAAGCACTTACAATACTGTCATGTGGGCATATTTTTCACAGGTCGTGCATCGAGAAGCAACTTCTTTTTACCAAACCCGGCGCATGTCCATTTCCGGAATGCGGGAAGACTGTCGAAATTGTTGTAAATCCAAATTCTACTAGGAGGGATTCACAATCATCTCAATCAAGTGGAACTTCAGCCTTATCTAATTTGATGAGCGAAAAGTTTAATCTAATTCCAACAACAATACCAGAAGATCCGATGGAGGATGTCGAGGATACATCAAACCAAGAAACAGAAAAACGTGCAATATGCGCTAAATGTGCCGAGATTTCTGTAGATATCCCGAAAGATACTGTCTTTTTAACCTGTAAGCATTTCGTCCATTATGAATGTATTGACAATCCTCGCAAGAAATGCCCCACTTCCCAGGCGAAGTTTTGGAATCGATTCCAGAAGAAGAGGCTTCGAGTACCGCTCAGAGAAAACGTACTAGTGACTTATCCGAATCTACCAGACAATCCTCATCTAAAAAACAGAAGACCTCAACTAATGACGGGGAGATAATAGTAAAAAATCCACCAGTAAGAAGGCAGAAGATCTTATTATTAGGCGTTTTTTGAGTGATCTACTAAGAGAGAAAGGTAATGTTGCTCCTGACGATGATTATAATTATGATCCTGTTGATGATATTACTGACAGTATGGCCGGCATGACACTAAATAGGGCCACAGTAAATGCTATCAAATTCGCCGTTAGAAGTGCTGTTAAGAAATGTACCAAGTGTGGTAGATTTGGACACACTTCTCATAAGTGCTCTGTAAAGAAGAAAAAGAAAAGCAAGAATTCGAAGAAAGGTAAGGTCAATCTTGCTATAGAACCAGATTCAAATTCTTCTTCAGACAATACTTCATCTAGTGATAGTTTCTATTCTGATACAAGTTCTTCCGATTCTGATGGCGTTCTTGATGTTCATATGGTCAAGTTAAAAAAAAAGTGAAGAAGGGGGTGAATCTAAGAAATCGTCCTTTAAAGAGACGTCTAGCGTCAAGTCGAGAGAATACCACTAGAGGAAACTATTCGTAAAGTCCTCCATAGTGAGCTTAAATTAATTTTTCCTGATCATTTTTCCTTTTCCAGGGATTTTGCCGAAGGCACTTCCAGTAGTCTCATTGTGTCTGAACAAATAGTGGCTCCTCTAGAGTCGAAGATAATGTCTCAAAATGATATTTCATCATCTTCTAAAGATTCGGATGAGTCTAGTCTAGAGGAGGAGTCTTTAGATGATCCTATGGAGATTGATTTTGTTCAGAAAAAGGAGCCGAAAACAAGTGTTGCGACTGTAGAGTGTAAAATCAAGTGTTTAAAGATTCTAGCCATGACTCTTGATTCTGGAGCTGAGTTTCCAATTACAATTATAATAAAAAACATTGTTGACCGCATTAGGGGCAAAATTGATAAATCTGAAAAACATGACCTTAGCAGTGTCGCTAATATCCCTATTGAATCTATTGGTATTGTCCGCAATTTGCCAATTACTTTAGCTCTAGGATTTACTATTTACGAAGATTTTATAGTTATAGATTATCATAAGCTAACGCTAATATTTTTCAACCAACTCTTAAAGAAATATGGATGCGCAGTAGACTGGAATACAAATAAGCTAAAGATTCCTTTCAATGAAAAAGATTATATTATCCCAGTCATCATGCATAAAGTCAAGAACAAGCTCAAGGTGAATTGTGCAACCACTACTCCTGAATATAATGAATCCTCGACCCCAGATTATATTTTGCAGGATTTAAGTGAGGATGATGATGTATTAAAAAAAAAGTGAGTTATAAGGAACTTAAAAAAATGCTATATAGCACTCTTAAATATAATGCAGAAATCAATAAGTATTGTGAAAGATTACAGGCACGCTATGATGAACTTCTTGCTGAAGGCGCTTAAAATAGAGAATAAACAAGTTATTTTTCTAATATATTCTTCATATTCGCTATATTTTTTATGTTTCTTTCAGTTATCTTCTCATATGACGTGAGAATCGGTTGAGACTGAATGGGAGATGATGTTAGCTCTGCTAATGCGGATTTGAACTTTGATTTCTTCCCTTCAGTCTTTTTTATCTTCTCACCTTCTTCCAAAACTGAATCAATAGATTTGCTAGGCTCTATCTTAGTATCATGTATTTGTTTTTCCAGTTCTGTAAATGGAGAAACATCTTGGTCTTGAATCTTTGACTCAATTTGCCCACCCATAACATTTATATTAAAAAGTGAAGCGATCCCTTCAGGATCAGCTGTTGACATATAAATTAGTTGATTTCACACAACCCTATTTTTTTCTTTACCTCTTCAGATCTGATAAATACATTTTTGTGATGTGTGATATTTATCTGTTAAATCCTTTAAAACTTTATCTCTAGGCTTTTTTTCAGCACATTGCATAATATGATTATAATCGGTTAGTGAAAAAGAAGGGCATTACATCTTATACGTTGCCTAAGCATAGTAGCAATATTTTTTTATATATCTAATATAATACTTCAAAATAATTTATTAAATAAGATATATAGAAAAAATGTATCATTCTGAATATATAGGATATATTGGAAGATAATATTCTGGATGTATAGGATATACAGAATGAACAGGATATTCAGAAAGAATGTATTATTCTAAATAAACAGATTATGTCTATTATCTTGGAAATTTATTTGTGCTTTTTTTTTCTAATATATAATCATACTAATATTATGTCTAATGTATATACATTGAATGATATAAAAGATAGAGAGGGTGGTTCTTATAAAAACCTAGTCATCGGCTGGGTAGTGCATATGAGCAAGAGCTCAAAAAAAAATAAGATCCGTTACTGAATTTAACTCTGAGATTAACGATCTCAGTGAAAAGCTGGTAGATAAATACAATAAGCGGGAAAAGGAGTATCAGCGAAGCTATAGTAATATTGGAAATAAGATTAGCCAATTAAATACATCCAACGTTAAAGTTAAATCCCAACTTATTTCTAAACAGAAGTCTCATTTTGAGAGTCAACGTGAGCTTGAAGCCAAATATACTGCTAAAATCAAATCGCTCAAATCTTCTATTAAAACTCTGAAGAGAGAGGCGACCCTAGTCCAGAAAGCTTTGTCCGCTGATAAGATTAAAATTCTTTCTCTTGAAACTAAAGTACGTGAATTGGAAGATAAGTTGGATAACTTAGAACTAGAACAGGTGTTCCATGATTCAGATGTAGTAGGAGAACTTCTAGAAGAGCTGGTCCAAATAAATTCATTCGACTCCAAAGAGATCGATTCTCTCAGGCTTGAATTAAAACGAGCAAATGAGGATCTTAGTTCAAAAAATATACAATAGAATGCATGGAAAAAGGGATAGAGGCAACAGATAGCATATATAAACGGGAGCTAAATATTCGGTCTTCAGAGCGATTAAAATTAATGGAGGAAAATAGCTCTTTCAGGAACTAATTAGCGTTAAAGAAAGATAATGAAGTGGATTCCTCACCCTCGCCTATGAACGATTCGACGCAAAAGCTACCAGGTTGGCTTAATGACGATTTAAGACCCCTCATTCATGAGTGTGGTCTTGAAGATAAAGTTATAGAACTCGATAAAAGTTTTTCTAGAGAAAATATATTAGAGCCTTTGCAAGAGCTATTATCCTGGAATAAGATGGTTTTGAGAAGCCAGATAGATATCATATCCAATCAATTCATTCATAGTCGACCAGCAAATTCCAAAAACTTTATTTTGAGGGAAGGGGTTGCGAAGCAATTGGATGACGCAAAAGTAGTACAATTACCTCAAGTAATGCCTCTAGCGGGTTTTTCTAAAATCGCATCAGCTATCCCTACCGTTAAAAGTTCCTTAATATCATATGCCATACTTACCTTATTTCTTTTTGCAGTTATATGGATCATTGGGAAAAAAATTTGGGATTCATGGAGTACGAACCCA